AAAAAAAAAAAAAAAAAAAAAAAAAAAAAAAAAAAAAGCATGTCCTCTCCCACTTCCCTTCACTTCAAAAGAAACAGTCAACACAATCAAATTTCTCACCGGCTTACAAAAAAAAAATTTTTTTTTCTAAGTCTTTCATCCCTAGAATGCAGCAAACCCAAATGGATTATGCTGGGGGATGAGGCCAGCAAGAGAAGGAACACAGAAACATCATCATCAGTGAAACCAAGTAGACAAATGGATATCTTACATCAGTAGTTTATTACAATACACACTGACACACAATTAGAGAAGGAATGTTCTGACATTTTCTGAGCATTTCACGGAAAGCAAATGTAACCATCCAGGCAGTAGTTACCCACACCTTTTCCAAACAAAAAAAGCAAAGGCTGTTATATGTGATCACTCAGGAAAGCAAGGCTTTCTTATTCTTGTCTCAAAAACATCACTCTCAGAACACAGCTACCATCAAGAGAACTGACCAGTGAAGGGTTCCCCATGCCAGGGATTTGGCCTGCTACTTCAGATGGCAGTCTGACTGGGGACTACACAGGACCTACGCATAAGGCTGACTACTATATATTTTACTGTAATTGAAAGGAAAGGATAAAATTAAGAAAAGTAAGCCCTGCTAAAATACATGAAAGCAAGGACAAAACATCTGGACTTCTAAACATGAGATGCTCTTTTTCATATAACTCATTTAAAAGGTTAAAATTACCATAAACATTTTAATTCTTATTGAAAGATCATCGTGAAAGCTTGCTTTTATATCTGTAAATGGGCCCTCCATTTGCACAGGCTCAGAAGTAAGCAACACAGTGGAGTTGCAAATTGTAGGGAAGCAGGCATCAGACTGCCCAGAGTCGCACTGGTGAGGCTTTAAGTCACTTGGTGGGAGACACGTGGAGCCTCGAGACTTTGCCCTCTTTCAGTAGTCGCTGTGGCAGCGGGCATTTGCATCCCTTCAGTGCCCAAACATGTGACAGCACTCTAGGATAAACCAGGAAAATGAAATGTGGATAAATTCACTACTTGTTATGTAACTTGGGAACAACAAGAAGGGCCCAAGCGTAATTCTGGTATTTCATGTAGAAAAAGCATTGCCGGAGAAAACTTTGTTTAAAAACACTAAAACTCAGGCGCATATAAATACATTTTTGGTTAATCTGTGCTATGTCAAATAGAGATCCTGTCAGATACTCAGCTTGCCAGGTAACTCGCTTGAGTTTTCATGTCTGACTATCAGTAGAAGAATATACACTGTTGCATATATTTACATATATATGCATATATATAAAATTCAGATCATGAAAACTTGTCTTAAATATACTTAAAACCTATGCATCTAAAAATAAATACATTAACCTCTAATCAGTTAATTCTCATCTTTCCTTCAAAAACCATCAGAACATAATTTTTCAACAATGGCAGAAGACCAATTAGCTGCCCTATAAACCCATTATCTACTAGTAAACATTTTGAAATCCAGTAATGTTACTGAAATAACATCCTTAGACTAGAGCATAGACAGAACACTGGGTCTGAATGTAAATATCTTGATTTCCTTGATGTTCAGTTCCTACAAATGCCTCTGCTTTGCCTCAGCATTTATCTAGCAGTGGGAGAGCTTTTCCTAGTGACGGCTTCTATTCCACTGACATTCCCTTCTAATCAAAGGAATCAGCTGGCATTTCCTTTGCTGTTTTGTTTGAGGCAATCAACACAACATCATCTGTATTTTATATTGCTCCCATAGATCACAGTGAGTTGTGTGTTGCAATGTGATTTACAATGTGCTGATACCACTGCAGTAAAGTAGCTCTGGATTAAAAAAAAGAACTTTCCCAGGAGAACAACATATGAATGACCTGGTGGTGTCTATTTAAGTTCCATGAAGTAACTCAAACAACTGCCAGAATGAACACATTAGATAGCTGATACTGGAGTTCAAACAACAGAAGCAGATGAAAATAGCCAAAATATTTTTCAAAAAACAATGCAGTCCACAAAAAACGGAGTTTTACCTGTTTACTTTTACTTTTCAAAAAAAACCCCTTTCTTAAAATGATATAAACTAGACCATATTGTTTAACACAGTATAGTATTTAGCAACCTTGTCATTTGTTTTTTTGAGTATAGAAATTTCAGAACTGTAGGAAATCCATGATAAATGACAGAACTTTTAATGCCACTGCCTACATTTTTCAAGGGGAAAGTTTGCCAAAGTTGAAACTCAACTTCTAAAAACTACAGTGTTTTATATGCTCACAGTCCCAGATCACTAACTTTATAAATTAAATGTAAAGTTTATTCCAATATAAACAAGGCCTCTTTTTCATTGATTTCAATCTCATTTAAACCTTTGGATATTTTAATCTTCTGATCTTCAAGATAAGGCTGAGTTTCTCAGATATAAATAAAATGTTTAAATCCAAGAGGTACTGTAGCACGGAGGAAAAAGATGCATCAAATATATACAGGCTGGCTACAATATCTGTCTTTAAAAAATTCAAGCTGTGTACAGTTATCAAGCCACACTCATTTTTTAATTTCTCTGGCTGCAAAACTGGGGAAACAGCATTTCTCTCATTTGTCTTTCCTCTTGGCCCTGAAGTCAGAACCAGGTGTTAGGTTGAAGGCCGTGGCATTTTGGGAGGTGGTGGTGGCATGAGCTCTGTGTCAGGGTCCAGGTGATGCTTTCGCTTCTGTCCTTGAGAAGCCACAGCACGTCTGTCGATGAACTCAAACAGCATCTCCTTGGTGACAGGATTTGAGATGCTATTGCACACAGCTGTGGATGGGGGCGGACACGCGAGAATTAATTGGGGTGGCTAACTCACCAGTTCATCTGAGCAAGGTTCCCACCTATAGAAGCGAGCATCCTATTCAAGGACTGGAAGAGATGATTAAACTGATCTTCTTTCTTGGCCCTTGAGTAAGTATGCTTCTAGTGACTATTCTTTATTGCAGTGCTACTTATAAACCCCAACTTGAAATATTTGGGGGATAGGCGTGTCTTCCCATCCCTCTAGCACAGTACATCGCAATGTAGGCTAAATTCTACTAAAACCCTTACAGAAAAGTGTGCTACTGGTTTGCCAGACTCTCTCTCATAAAGAAGACCACGCTGAAACTTGTAACGCAGCACTACCCACCACTCCTAGGGAACAGGACAGTTCCATTATAGCTGGAGGAACATAGTATTTATTGTGGTCTTATTTCAAGTAAGATATTATAACAAAATTATCTACTAAAGCATCTCTTCTTGAGTGATCAAAATTTAGAGGCACTCAATTTCATTTACTTATTTGGTTTTGGGGGAAAAATAAGTTAAAATGGATTAATCATTCCTACTTTTGAAATGAACTCATTTTGTCTCAACCTGGGTGCGACTTCCAATGTGAGCAGCTAAACGTATAACAGTAACTTCTAAATTGTGAAGCCCAGACGTGTGATGTCTGTATGTCCTCAGAAGCTTACCAAATTGTCACCAGCATGTGAATGAGAACTTTAAAAAGTACAATTCTTTGTTCTTTTTTTTTTGGGGGGGGGGGGTTAGAACCGGGGATTGAACTCAGATCCTTACGTTTGCCAGTCAAGTGCTTATCCTACTGAGCCATCTCCCCAGCCCCTTTTTAAAATTGATTTTTTTTTTTTTAAAAGTGTACAATTCTTTTAACTTTCAACCTCAGTTTTATGTTTTTCAATTCCGCTAAATACAATTCAGGGCAACAACAACTACTAGTACTAAGTGTACCTTATAAACTTCAGTTAATTTGTTTTGTTCCTCATGAAAAAAACTTAATGATCCTGGTTTCCCAAAGTATTCAGATGATATTCAAAGAACACAGTGAATGACAGCATGATAATGTGTGTGTTTTTAATAGTTTTCATTTACTTTGTTCTCCATTGTTTTAAAGCTATATTAGGAGCTGGAAATTACATTTTCCCCTGCTACATTTGTCTTTTACCATCTGGCAAACAATGGATTTTACAGTTTTGCATAGATCTGAAATTATCATGGCTTTTGTGGTTGTTGTTCAATGGATGCAACTTGTATACAGCCCACTGTCCTACCCTTTAAACCTCTCTTTTAGGCAAAAGGCACAGCCCACAGGCTTTGGCGAGGGGAACCTAAAGCTGACTGGAGCCAAACAGGGCACAGATCTGACAGACGCTCTTCTAGGTCCTGCCACGCAGGACAGCGAGGCAACATATCTTGGTTCCAACGTCCTAACTATCATTTTTGATGGTAATAAGCCCCAGTTATACTCACCCATGGCAGTGTTGTAGGCATTAGGAAAGCTTTTGTCTGTCCTTTGTCTCATGAAGACCCAGCTGTTGTTCTCAAATTTGCATTCTATAATTTTATTGTCATACTGTTTTAGCTCTTTTGTCACCTATTTTAAAAGAGAATTGAGGAAATATTTAAATCATCTGAAAGGCTTTTTGCTGTCATTGCATCACAAACACATTAGGAAATACCAAGAACACCTTAGTAACTCCACAGAGCTCTTTGTCATCTGAAGCATCTAATCAAGCCTAAAGATACAGTGTGCGCGCCCTGTACACATGCTCATTTTGCTGACATTTTATCCATAGTTGTGAACACTGCTGTCAACATAAAGCAATTAAAAGAAGCTAAGCCCAAAGCAGTCACTTCGGGCCGAGTGCAAACACGTTACCACAGCGACCAATGCCTCCAATATTATATGGCTGTCAGAAACTGAGTGTCCTGCTTGGGGTTCATCAACTTTCAGAAAGGCTGTGCCATCTAAATTTCCATGTCAAACCCTAGGCAATTTATTTTATAAATTAAAAAGTTGCATACTAAAAAGTAAAATACCAGGACAAATGTAGACCATGTGCATTCTTAATATCTGCTTTTCAAGGGTTGGCAATATAGCTCAATGGACTAAGCGCTTGCTTAGGTAAGTGCAGGGGCCAGGGTTCAATCCCTGGCTCTGCATGCCAAGCTGGCCCCACCCCCAAGTGCTCTGCGCCAGGTATGGTGGCGCGCACCTGTAATCCCAGTACTAGGGAGGCAAAAATCAGGAGGATCACTACAAGTCTGGGCTGTGTAGTGAGACCCTGCACCCACGCACACACGCACGCACACACGGAAAAAAAAAAAAAAAAACTGAAAAAAAAATTTTTTTTTGCTTTTCAAAAGCAGTGATAGGGGCTGGGGAGATGGCTCAGTAGAATAAGCGCTTCCCTGGCAAGCACAAGGGCCTGAGTTCAATCTCCAGTTCCGCCAAAAAAACCCAAAAGCAGTGATAATTAACTCGAAACCTAATCTTTAGGCTACCTGCCTTTCCATCTTCCAAGCCAGTAGAATGTAAAGATGAGGCTACCACTTTCACTTCAGCTACTGGGTTACATGGCTTCTTCACATCCACGATTGAATATGGATTACAATTTACTCTATCAAACCTAATAAGTATCCATGGTAACTAGGGAACCTTTTAGAAGATATTTCATTGGGCTGTGAGGATGGTGTTCATAAATAAAAGCCTCTGCTTATCTTCACAGTTTTCAAATCAAATGTCAGTCATGGTCATATTTTAATTCTGTCCTCCTCTTTCATAGCTAACAACCTTCCCTCACAATACAGTAGATCACAATCGTTTAACTTCATTAGCATTATCTGAAATGCTCTCATCTGTCTACCCATATATTTATTACCACCTGGGAATCTGAGGGGAAGCGAATTTTTAAGGCACTTTCAATTCACAAATTAGGCAGTGCATGTCTTCATAAAACAGTTCAAATTTTATTGTTGTTTTCTTTAATGAGTATTACATTTGATTGTACTGTTTGCATGTTCAACAAATTAACAGGTCTAATACATTCAGTGCTTCAGGCTGGAATTGCATGTGCCCTGAAAAATGTGATGCTCCACTTGGCAAAATTGCTAAATTTATTCTCAGCTATTCATTATTCTAGCCTCAACTCTCCTACTATGCTAACTAGAGATTTGTCTTTTACTGTTGATTCATTATTTATATATAAGTATTGGGCAACTCGTTCTACTAGGTAACTATATTTGTGTTATACAATATGGGGGACTTAACAGGAATAAGTCTTTAAACATTTCAAAGTATCCATCTTCTAAACACTAAAATGAAGAAAGGAGTTTTTAATTTACTAGGTCACTAGAAGAGTAAGAAAGTCTGGCACAAAGAAGACAATGAGTAAAATTGGTAATTGAGTACAAAAGCATATAATTAAAGATTTCTCTCTTTTTTTTAAATTTCTTTTTAAAACCTGTGATAAAAGATTTACTATGGTAACAATTTTTAAGTGTGCAGTTCAGTGCTATTGAATATATTCATACTGTCATGCAACAACTCTCTAGGACTTTCTCATCTATACTACAACTCTGTACCCACTAAGCATGAATTCTCCCCACTACCCAGACTGGTAATCATTTTTCTCTTTTCTGCTTCTGTAATCTTTACTAGCTGAGATACTTCATTTGAGTAGAATCATACAGAATTTGCCACTCTGTATGAGTTCATTCTTTTTATGACCATAGTATTCCAACACCTGTACACACATTTTCTTTATCCATTTTTCTGTCAATGGGCATTTGGATTGCTTCTATCTCTTGCTATTATAGATAGTGCTGTTATAAATGTGGGTATGAAAATATCTATGAGATCCTCATTTAAATTCTTTTGGATTTACATTCACAGGTAGAACTGCAGGCTCACATATTAACTCCACCTCAAATTTTTTGAGAACCTTCCACACTGTTTCCAAAATGGCTTCACCATCTTACATTCAAATCCCACGACCAGTGATCAAAGAACTGCAGCTTCTCCTCTTCCTTACCACATTTTCTCTTCACTGGGTATTAGCCATCCTGACAGATGTCAGGTGATACCTCATTTGGTTTCTGATGTGCATTTCCCTGATGACTGGTGATGTTAAGCATTTTTTCTTGTGCTTACTGGTGGTGGTGTATCTTCTACATTTTCTTAGGAAAAATGTATTTTCAAATCCCTGCCCTTATTTGAATCAATTTTTTTCATTGAGTTACAGAAGTTTGTTATGTATTCTGAATGTTCACACCTTAACAGACATAATTTGCAATTTTTTTTCCCACTCCATTGGCTGGTATTTTACTCTGTTATTTGTTTTGGTTAGCACAAATTTTAAGATTGACGCAGTTCTTTTTGTCAGTTTAGTCTTGCTGTCTATGATTTTGGTGTCATACCTAATAAATTATTGCCAAATTTTATGTCCAAAAGAATTAGAGATGTTTAATAGTCTAAGGTCTTACAGTTCAATAAGAATAGAGTGAGGTTCTAACTGTTATTTTGTTTCAAATGAACATCCAGTTTTCCTACTACCATTTATTGAATGGTAGTCTTAGTACCCTTATGGAAAACCAACAGTATACAAAGATTTATTTCTCAGCTCTCTATTCTGGTCCACTGATCCATGTATCTTTTTGCCAGTAATTAATTATGCTGACTTATTATTGCTTTATAGTATGTTTTCAAAATCATCAGTAGGCATGAGTTCTCCAATATTAATCTATGTCTATTATTTGTATCCTTTGAGAATCCATATGATTTCTAGGAGGTTTTCTATTTTGGGGTCAAGCATGGTGGTAATTTCAGCACTCAGGAAGCTGAGACAGAAGGAATGCTGCAGGGTTGAGACTAGTCTGGCTGCATAGTGAATTCAAGGTCAGCCTGAACTACATAGCAAGACTCTGTCAGAAAGAAAGGAAAGGAAAGGAAAGGAAAGGAAAGGAAAGGAAAGGAAAGGAAAGGAAAGGAAAGGAAAGGAGGAGGGGGAGGGAGGAAGGAGAGAAGGGGAGGGGAGGATGGACAGGCAGAAGGTGGGATGGGTTCGATAGAGATTACACGGGATCTGTAGCAATATTAAGTAATGGTTAGCAAATGTCTTTCTGCTTGCTTATATATTTTCTTTCATTTCTCTTAGCAACAAGCCCTGCTTACTTTTTTTGTAAAAGCAACTCTAGAATTATATTCACTTAAGAACCATGCCGTCACAGAAAGGTGCACTTTGAAAACAGCTGTCGGCAAAATTAGACACGCACCTCCCAAGAATGGGGCTTGCTAGTAAACAATGTGCGGCTGTACTTTTACTGGCTACCAACTGTACTTAAGTCTTTATCGTACAGTTCATCATTTTTGTGTTCTCAGTTTTAGAACTGCTATAAATTATTGTCACTCCATCTGACTAGAGCAATTTAAGCAAGATTAATAACTATCTGTATCTGCCTGGCCAAGAACAATAGAGGAAACAGCTTTCCAGAAAAAAACATGCACCTGCTGCTACTAACTTACATGCATCTCTGTGTTCAAGAGCAGCACACTGTTTATTATTGTCACACCCGTTATATTCCCAAGACGGACACACTGTGAAGTACTCCCTTGGTTAGGTGGTAAAATATACTTAACTGATAAAAATGATACTTCCCACCTGTGCACAAACTAAGGCAGTTTTCTCTAATGGTCAGGCCAAGAGAATGAATGGCATACAGGGGAGGAACTTCATCTGAGCTACCATATTTTAATTTGTTATTATGATGATATGCATCTTCAGCCAATTACAAGCTCTTATTTACTAAAACAGGACCCCATTAGGCCTTTTCTAACCAACTCTTCTAGCCCAGTTTGGGTTAATGAAAGCTTGAAAGTAAAAATAGTAAAATATTTATAAATCAGAACTTCCCATCTGTACACAGAATCACATTAGATTAATGCAGTACCATTTTTTAAAAAAAGCATAAAGAGCAGAACATGTTATATGGAAAGTTTTTTCTAATGCATCCATCTTATTGGGATAGCTATAAAACGCTTTTATCTTATATGAATCTACCAATAATACAAGATTAAAAGACTGCTAGATGAAACCAGACCTAGTACTTCTAATGATTCTAAGTTAGCAAAAACATTCTTTTGGAATCTAACCAGAGGTACAGTACTAATTTATAAAAGGCACAGTGTCAGCTGAACTGATCTATTTAAAATAGACAAAGAGCTGTGTCAGTTTTCAGGACAGGAGAGGAGCCTCTACACACTACCCTTGCTTTGTGAGAATTTTATTATCAAGAGTTTATCTTTATGTTGGGAGTGGTACAGGGATTAAAGTCAGGACAATCACACTTAGCTATACCCTCAGAATTTTTTTTTTTAACTTGAAACATGTTCTTGCTAAATGGGCAGGGCTGGGCCTTGGGGTTTTCTTGCCTCACCTGCTGGTGCTAGTAGAAGAGGTGTGCATTCCTACACCTTGTGGTTTTGTTGTTGTTTTGTTTTGGTTTTTTTCTAAGAGAGTACAAAGGTGTGGGAAAGGGTGTTTTCTCAGAACTAATCTGCTCTGAAGATCCTTTCAAATAACAAATATCCTTACA